CATACAAAGGCTAAATTATTTTTTTAAGTCAACGAAAAGTATCACTAATAGGAATTTGTTTATCTTCAGAAATCTCAAGGATTCCCTTGTTGGAAGCAATTTCAAAAGGAAGGTTCCTTCTACTCTTTATTTCATCTTATCTTCTCATTTAAAATTATGTTGCATTGAAGAGCTAATTATTTTCATTGAGGATTGACAGGGCTTCTCAGCTTTGTCAAAACTTGAAATGCTTATCAGAGAAGAGAGGAAGAGGAAAAGATGGATGGAACGGAAGGACATTCTTACCTAACCTTGATTCTACTGACATTTTCTTTGACAATGAACCAAATCCAAGTGCAGAACTAAACCCATTAATACATATATGAGGCTATAATCCTTAGCCTACTTTACATTCTGTGATTAAACCAAGGTGAGGAAATTGATTTGTTTTCCTTCCCCTAATTTTCCCCGTGGAGGAAAAATGAGAGAAAAGTCTAGGTAGAATACAGAGAATTTCCATTTACAATTACATGACCAGACAGAATTGCCTTGTGTTGGCTGCTAAATCCCCAGATGAACTCCTGTTTATGATGACAAAAGCTGGAGGTTCTGAGCAATACATTACTGAACAGGAGTCAAGGCTCAGGCACCATAACACTTTCAACACAAATAAGAGGGTTTTTGCCTTGCCCTCCAGGACTTCAAAGGTCTAAGGTGAACTGAATGGCATCTGTCCATGGCTATTATCCAGAGCTTGCTTTGTTGCTGAGGGAAAGAAATGGCTACTTAGTCTTATGATTGAAGCTGAAATTCCATTTTGCCTCTCAAACCCTGTGTCCTCCTTTCTTACCTTTTCCGCTTCTACTGCAAACTCATACAGAGAAGTAATTTGAGCTTATGTGGAGCTGACAAGAGATATACAATGCCAGCAATCATTTTTCTCAAGGCCTTTTTGTCTTAGAATCTCAAAGTTCTCAAAAGATAAAATGACTATCACCCCCATCCTTAAAAAACAAACAAACAAACCCCCCCTCAAAAAAACAAACCTTCACCATTCCCACTGGCTATCATCCTATATCTTTCTACCTCTTCATGGCTAAACTTCTTGAGGAAATAATGTATACGATGAGTGCCTCCATTTTCTCTCCTCTCATTCTCTTCTAAACCCTCTGCAATCCGTTTTCTGATCTCATTATCTAACTGAAACAATCTTCTGCAAAATTACCAATGACCTCTTAATTCCCAAACCCAAGGTTTTTTTTTAAAAAAACCTTAAGCCTCTCTCCAGTCTTTGACATGCTTGATCCAGATACTCCCAGATACTCGTTCTTCCCTAGGTTTTTGTGACACTGCTCTCCCCTGGTTCTTCTGCTATCTGTCCAAACACTCTTCAGTCTCCTTTGATGGTTCTTCATCCATATCACATCCTCTAATTGTGATATCCCCAGGCCTCTTGTCCTCAGTCCTCTTATCCCTAATTCCATTTCACAAATTCTATGATCCAGCTTCACCAGCCTATTTTCTGTTCCTTGCACAAACACTCTATCTCCCATCTTTGCACCAGCTATCCCCCATTCCTCGAAGGCTGCCCCCTCACCTCTACCACCTAGTTTCCATGGCTTCCTTCAAGACTCAGCTCATACGAGGCTTTTCCTGGTCCACTCAGTTGCTAATGTAATTCCCTTTCAGATTACCTTCTTCTACTATGTGTTTATCTTTCCATGTACCTGGTTATTTACGTGTTGTCTCCCCAATCAAAATGTAAACTCCTAGAAAGCAGAAAATGGGTTGTTGTTTGTTTGCCTTTTTTTTAAACTTCCTTTGTATCCCCAACATTTAGTATAGTACCTGGCACATAGTAAGTACTTAATAAATGCTTATTGATCTGAACTGACTTGATTCCTTTTTGTATTGAGCTAATGTCTCCACCTTTCCCTGAGAATCTTGGGTCGAGAGCTGAAAGGGATCTGAGAGGCCATCTGGTCCAATTCTCTGATCTTACAGATGAGAAAACTAAGGCCCAAAGAGGTCAAATGACTTGCCTAAGGTCACAGAGGTAATAGACATATTAAGTGACTGAGGCAAGATTTGAAACTAGGCCCTTTGATTCAAGCAGTAAAGCTTTTTTTTTTTAATAGGATACTTAATACTTTGGCTATAACTACATGATGTTAATGTGGTTTACATTCACTTATTTAATTATCTTATAACCTTCTCAGTACTACCAAGGTAGCTATTATTCCACCTAGAGATGATAAGCAAAGTAATTTGGCAAGGGACAATATTTCATTAGAAATATATTTAGGTAACTAACTTTATAGATTATGATATCAACTACATATCATCAACTTTAGCCTAAATAGCTCATGATTTCTGGATGAGATTACTATCCTGGATACTACATTAGATTTTAACCAAGGGTCATGCACATATCCAATGCTTAATGAGAAGGATCTACACTCAAACCTCTCAACTTTTGTCTTTTTCTAAAGGCTAAAGAAATGAAAGTGTTTTTCTTTTATTTTTTTTCCTTTTTGCTTTCAACAGTTCATCTGGAAAGTGTTCGACATGAGAAAATGACCATATCTGCAAACAAAAAACCTGAATGTTATCATCAGCTTTGTTCCTACCTCTGGGTATATCAATACATCTTACACAAAGTTCCTTCTTCCTAGGTCTGGGTTAAGTATAGGAGAATATGCAAAACCTAATTGAAGCACACATACTGTCTCCCAGCTTTGAGAAGCTTGAACTTGTCTCATTAAGAACCACCCTTCTGTAGAAGAAACATCATTCTTCAAGCAGATTTCCCTGACCAACAAGATAATTTATATTCAATCAAGTAAAACATCTCAGCACTTAATCTGTATTTCTCTATATTTAAGGAGATTGTCACTGCATTAATACAACTGTGTCCTTAAACAATGACTCATAGCTCTGCTTGTAGGGGAAAACCCCCCCAACAATCTCTGAGGCAGTCTCTTTCCCCAGTGAGTCCCTGAGAGCTCAAGATCGGCTCTTGCAGTCTTGCTACACAATCCCACTCTCCCAAAACTTGTGTCTTATTTGTATAAATACAAAAGCTCATTTCTACAAATGTTAACTGCCTGCTAACAGGTGCTGTCTAGACTGTGGCTCTGATTCAGGTAGCTGTCTTTTGCTTAAAAAAGAAGAAAACTCTCAACATTCTTGTCTCATTTCTCTTTCTCTGCATCTTTAAAGTGGATGAGATTAGCTGTCAATTAATTTTTACCACTCTTTCTTCCTTACTTTCTGGACCAGGACCAGATCATAATGAGTTATTTTTATTCAAATTGGTCAAAAATTATATTCATATGTATTGGGGAAGTGGAGGCACTAGAATTTTTAACTTTCAGAGAGATAAATTAATCATGTCTATGACAGATGAGAAATGTTTGAGACATCATTATATACTAAAGCTCCTCCATGGCTAGATTGTTAAAGTAATGCTGTCATAAAAACAAGGTACAGGGATCCTCCAAAGTATGTCTTAGACCAGACAAACATTTTCAATGAGGAAATCTACTTTTCACTCTTCTGGAGTGAAAAAAATTCCCTCTGGGGAAGGAATGGGCCTAGGGAGGAGCAATGAAACAGTAAATCAGTGGAGGGGACACAGAAAAGTTGCTGAAACTAAGCAAAATCTTAGTGGATATACATGCCCCTCACCCATTCTGTCCCCTCTTCAATGCTTTGAATAGCCATAGGGGAGGGCTGAGGCTTCTGGCAACACCTGTCTCTCCATCAGAAATGCTTAAGAATCACAGGGAGGACAATTAGCTCCATAATTGACTAGGTCATCTGGAAGATTAACCAGTCAATCTTGATCAATTAGTTGAGAGCACTTGTGATGGTGAGGCCTCCTGCTTTTCCTCTGGGAACCCAAGAATAGCACTGTGTCTCTGAAAATTGTCTAAATACTCTAGAGATGGACTTTCAGAAACCATTTAAATCTGATAAGGAGAGACAAACAACATTAAAATACAAAGTGGCCCACATCCTCCACATAGAAACTCTCAATAGCACTAGAAATCAGCAAAGAAAATATCTTTTGAGCTAAGGAAACCAGTGAAATGGAATACACCATTTCTTTTACATGCACGTTCCCCCTTACCCTCAATCCAGTATATCATCAAAGATTCCAAACACAAAAACAGTCAAGAAATGCTTGTCTACTTACCAATACTCCATAGGCCAGGAAAAGTAAACATCCCTGCCAAATCTACTACCTAGTTTAGCATTAGAGGTCACAGGACTGCACAGACTGATAGGAAGAATATTTAGATTATGACAGGAAAAACAGCAAAGGAACAGTAGAATGGAAGCAGTTTCTAGGGTCCCAATTTTCATCTCCTTCCACATGCTGTGTGTCTCTTTCCTAAACTGAGCTTTATTCTATGTCAACGGAGCTCTGCGGGCAGAAAAGATGTGTGGGAGGCAGAGAAGGATGAAAGGTTTAGCCTTGTACATACTGCTCACAGCTCACAGATATATGGAGGGGAAAATAAATGGACACAGGAAAAAGGCTGGTGCTGAACAGAATCCTCAAATGCCTCATTATAATATTCATAAAACAATAACAACAATAGCTAGCATTTATATAACTCATTAATATTTACAATAAAACATTTCATATGTATATTATCTCATTTGATCCTCACAACAATGCCAGAAGGTAGGTACTATAATTATCTTATGAGGAAACTGAGGCTAAGTGACTTACCCAAGTTGACAATGCTAATGTCCAAGGCAGGATTTGAACTCAGGTCTTCCTGATTCCAAATCCAACACTAAATATCCACTATGCCACTTAGTCATCTCACATGTTCCCTGACGTTAACTTGCTGGTGAATCCAATGAAACCTGCCTCCTTATTGCAATTTTTATGCTGCCTTGGATGGAAATGCTCTGATAAAGTCCTAACAAGTAACATGAACCAAACTGAAAAAGAGTTTTAAGAAAACAGAGAGACATTGAAGCCAGATGGAAATGTCTTTCACCTTGGTTTGTCTTACCAGCAGAATCTGCTCCCGAAGCCCCGCCACTTGTCTGCTCCTCAGCATCAAGAGCCTGCATGTCTGTATATGATGGGCCAATACTCGGGCTACTAGTGTCCTCAGAATGGGTGGTCCAGCTGCTCTCTGAAGCAAGGGGACATCTTCCCAAGGAGTCAAAGGAGGGACATGTCCAGCAGGAGACAGTTAGCGGGAGGGCTACAGACAAATCCAAAAAAAAAAAGCAACTAATATTAATAGTGCTACCTTGACTGAAATTTTTTCAAATTTCTTTTCAAGAGTTCAAAGAGTTTTATAGTTCTTATCTCATTTGACTCTTTAGTCAGTCACCTGAGACAGAAGGGTAAGTAGAATGAAAGAGGAAGCTAGATGACTTATTCAAGGACATGCAATAAAATGTCATAGGTTATGTCAGGGTCTCCATTCTAACAGACTTTAGGTTATAGGTTTGCTCAGAGCAAAGAGAAATGAATTTAGCAGCAGCATCTTTGGGTTGCTGCATTTAGAGGTATACCATTATCCTCAACATAATCCACTCATTCACACTCCCATGCAAATGTACTTGTGTTGTATGTAATAGTACATATCTGAGCACAGTTTATAATTATGTCTGTTTTTTAGTGCTGTTGTGTGTATATCTGCAATGGCTACCCTCTTCCTCTGTTTGTTGGCCTACCCATTCTTTAATTTCCTAACTCAAAACCTATGTCTTCCAGGAAACTTTCCCTGATTTTCCCCAATCTGTAGCTTTCTTCTCCCTTGACCTCATGTTCCATTTAATTTTTATTTCACTTATTTATTTACATAATATTTTAAAATTCAAATTAATTTTTTCCAAGGAACGAACATTTATTTTCTTTCTCTCCCATTCCCCTTTCCACTGCAGGGAAAAAAGAAAACTTGTGAAAGACAGGTATAGCCAAGCAAAACAAATTCCTGATCATGTACTATAATATATTAGACTTATCTCTGTTTAGCTCATGTTCCCTTGCTAGGCTGAAAGCTCTACAAGGTCAGTGACCACCAGTAGCTTATTTTAGCTCTGCATATCCCCCAAGGTCTAGATTATAGCTGTTCAGTTGTTCAGTCATGTCTGACTCTTTGCGACCCTGTGGACCATAGCACACCAATACCATCTGTGGGATTTTCTTGGCAGAGATACTGGAGTGGTTTGCCATTTCCTTCTCCAATGGATTAAGGCAAACAGAGGTTAAGTGACTTGTCCAAAGTCACACAGCTAGTAAGTCTCTGAGGCTGGATTTGAACTCAGGTCTTCCTGAATCCAAGTCCAGTGCTTTATTCACTGAGCTGCCTAGCTGCCTAGATAGTGCTCTGCCTATAGTAGGTATTTAATAAATGTTTGCTGTGTTGTATTGCTTTAGCATGATTCTTTCTCCTTTGGTTACAGAGAGAAATTTCTCTCTTCTGGGTTAAACTTCCCCTCACATAATGCTAGGCAGATATTAAATACCTGATGGTCTACCCTATAGTACCCTGAACTCTCTAAAGAGGAAAATGTATGTTATCTGGATCCATTTCCTTTGTCCTACGCTGCAAATTCAGCATTTTTTATCTCATATTTGGAAATTCAAAATCAAGAATTTCAAAGCAACCACAGGCCTGGTGCCATCTTACTTTCCTGAGAGAAGCAGAATAACCAAAACTATCACAGTTGTTGCCCTCACATCTTGTCCTCTCAAATTTACTGAAAAGCACAGAAAACCTCTGCTTAATGGCATGTGCAAGCTTATTCATTTGAAAGTGCCATATTCAGTTCAGTAAACTTAGGAAAACATTATGTGTGCTCCATGCATAGGTGAGCTAGGTACTATGTGAAATACAGAGACAAAGAAAGGTATAATCCCAGCTGTCAAGAAGTACACAATCTTGTAGAAATAAAACATGCACAGATAACTATAATACAAATAAGAATATAAGTGAATGGGGGAGGTCTGAACAAAGGGCGCTAAGAGACTCAAGGAAGAAAAGGAATTTAGGAATATCACTATGGAAGATGTGGCAACTGAGCTGGGCCTTGAAAAAAAGGGAAGGCTTAAACAGGTAGAGGTGTGAATATGTAGTGGAAGAGGGTCGTCTATTGCAGGTGTTGGGAATCATGCACACAAAACCACAAAGGGAAGAGAGGGAAGAATTAAACCGGTGAAGAGCAAGTAATCTAATCTGGCTAGAACTCACAATACACTAATAGGAATGTTGTGAAATAAGACTGAAAAAGTAGGTTAGACCTCAGGCAGTGGGGATGGACACTGAATGGGGCGGCAGTGTGGTCAGGGCAGTGTATTAGGAAATAATGCTGCCCAAAGAAACCTCACTCAATCTAACATCAGGTACCTGAGGATGGGGGCGGGGAGTTCAAAAAAGTCTTGATATCCCTGCTTGTTTGCTTTCTGAAGAAATACCACTCAGGTGACAACTGTGTTCTGAGACCTCAAAGGGCTTTCACAGCTCTCATCTCAGTGTGTGGTAGCCTGCCTTGGCTCACAACATCCCCCCAACCCCAGGAATGTAACAACTTCCCCCACCCCCATCTCTGCCAGTGAAAATTCTTCCCTTTCTTGAAGTAAAGCTCAGGTACCACTCCCTCCTTAATACCTTCTTTGATGCCCTGAGCTAGAAATCATTTCTCCCTCATTCAATCTCACATAATACCTTGAATCTTTTTCCTATGCGGAGAGAATACAAATGTCAGGGAAGAAGCTGACAACCCTTTTTCCTAGAAATGTATTTGTGAAACAAGACAGAAAGTAGAACACACACACACACACAGAACCTGTATTAGGCATTTAATAAATGCTTGTTGAATAACATATAAGAGTGTGTGCACAAGGTGTGTCAGGCATGCACAGGCACACACTATCTCAAAAAAGTGGTTTTGTGCTTTAACTTAATCTCATGGTATGTTCTTTTAATTTTAAAGTTTGGATTGTTTTATTGTGCAATAAGAGCTGCATTGTGCAACAGAGATGCACATAGGAAGCTTATGTTCACTCATGACATGCCTTCCTCATGGTGATGGCAGCAGCAGTGACAGAAGTGTATCCTCCTAAGTTTTGGGGGAGAAGGAGCAGTTGAAAGGATGGGACACAGTTACACATTGGCCATGGGGTTGGGAGTGGTTCAAAATGGTGATGGGGGGTGGGGTAGGGAATAAATCTTATATTGCACTAATTAGTTGTTAATTTTTAAAATTAAATTTAGCTTTAATTTATTTACTTTAATGAATATAAAGAATGCATTTTATGATTAAGTATTCAATAAATGCCTGCCTTTAAAAATTAAATTCCCTGGGTGCACAACTTAAATGAAAGGTGCTACACATGCCTATATTGTATATTCACATATATGTGTAATCCAACTCATTATACATGTTACATGTATGTATAAGTAAGGTGAATTTTAGTGTGTGTAAAGTGGATTTTTTTGTTATTCTTTCTTAGAGTTTTCTTCCCAGGATCCATAGCCATAACAATCTCTACTTCCCAGGTATTAGATATGAGTTCTCATGATCATGGTTCAAAAACAGTTTCTACTGTGCAGTCACAGTAGATAGAGAGATGAAATGATGTAAAATTGTGAGGCTATTGCTGGCAATATGCCTTATTTGTCTGTTGCCCTATAAAGTAAGCGGGCACTGGTCAGTAACTGACCTGCTTTAGAGGTGAATGTGCAGGCTGAATGCTGTGCGTGCCTTGGTCAGCTCCCATCAAGGCTTGGGAGAGGAAATCTGTGTGTTTGCCTCAATCAGCCCCCATTGAGGCTTGAAGGGATTTAGGGGAGTGTACAAGTTGTACCGGTCTCAATTGACCCCATCGAGATGAGGGGTAGTTGCTCCCCCCTTCATATGCCAGCCCCTGCGAGAAGGGTTGTTAGGGAATGCTGTAGGAATTGGTACTCCCATTATCAGCAAACTCCCTTTGAGAATACTAGACTAGAATAAAGTAAGCTTATTTAACCTTTTATTATGACTCCATTCCCATCTCCCTGTCTGATCGGATCAAAAGCGAACCTCCTAGTGAGGGAGGTGCTAGATGCCCTCCGTTGTCTCTTTATGGCATAGTCTGTGTGTTTACTTGTCCAACGGTGTGACACATCTATTTTATTTATGATATGTTGAGGATGTATAGAGAGATATAAGAATAAGTTAACATATTCCAGAATGAGAAAAGTTAATAGAATTAATTAAAATATATTTTTTAAGTAATAAAATGCTTTCAGTCTTCACATGCTCAGGAACTCATAAGACAGATTGTTTCCCTCCATCCCCACCCCCCAACCACACACAAAAAGAGAGACTTTCATATTGATCTGGACAACTAAAAGGAATACAAATTATTCTAACCCATAAAAATATGCTGCAATCAAATGAACAAATGATCTAATATTTGCAAAGCACTCTTCAAACTTAAAGCACTATATACTATTATTAGCTATTCTAATATGCCATTAACAAGGTTTATACAAACTTATTACTATTATAGTACTATGTCATTGAAAGATCATCTAGTTATCAGTACCTTCACTGTACAGATAGAAAGAAATTGAAGCTTAGAGAGGTCAAATACCTTAGCCAAGGTCAAATAGTTAGTAACAGATGGCATTTAAAGCTAGGTCTACTGATAGTAAACCAAATGCTACTACTCAGAGATGAGAGTGTTTTAATTATTTTCATTCTGGTTAGTTTTCATTGGTTCTTCCCAATCTTTATATTTAACAAGCCCCAAGCTGGACTTAAAGAACAATTCTTTCTAGAAGAGGGAAGCCAGATGTCAATGAAGCTCATTAATTGCTTTTGCCTGGCTCAACACAGTTGCTTACTTATATCAGTTTAGAAATCATTAATGTGACAATTTATTTAAGAACCTGATGAAATCCACTCAGACCATAAAATTAGTTGAAAGGGCTTGGAATTGATCCTCTCCCAGAAGCTAAGCTTGTGATATTTATGCTATGGAACAGCAAGATTCTATTGCCATCTTCCCTTTCCCCACCCAGCCCTTTCATCCCATAAGACAGAAAAGCAGACAACAGATTTAAATCTGCTTCTCCACTTTACAGCCATCTATGGGTTGTTAATTAATGGCATCTTTTTTTCTTTAGAATTCTAGGACACTTGGTAGATACTTAAGCTGAAATCAATCAATTCCATAGAAAACATCTTATGTAGAGATTAAGTTCTG